ACAAACTGATAGAAAATAACAAACGAAAAGTAATCTAAACACAACAAAGATAGACTTTGTTTGTCTTCTGGTTTGGTAATACTCGAGTAGAACTCAATAGAATTTGGTGGTAATTACAAAATAAAGAAAATTAATTATAAAAGAAAACAATTCGCTTAAAGTTTTGTTTCTTATTTATTTATTTACTGAACATTTTTTTTTCTATTTTAATTTTATATTTTTATTCTTAGTAAAACAGTTTTAAAACAAATCCAGGAATTTTAAAATTTGCTGCGTTTTATATTATGTAGATGGTACAAACAAGCAATCTTCGTCAGCACTTCTGACACGAAACAATCAGCATGTTAATTAAACCATCCCATCACCTATTCACATTCTTAATGACTGCATTCAAATTATTGTCTTCATTTCCATTCTAGAACAAAACTTCAAACAGAAAAATGTCTTCGTGTCACAATTGAAGCAAACCAAAATGTTCTTTAAATGAATTTTTATATTTGAAATTTTTATCCTGTTAAATATTTCTCGCCAAAATAATTGCTAAAAATCTCTTTTGCATATATTTAAAATTTTAATAAATGTAAACTATTTATTATTCTATTAACATATTTAAGAATTCTCAAGGATGGGCGCATTTTAGCTGCTTTAAAACGTTGAAAAGTTGTCGATATTAATACATAAATATAATAATTATTAATATAAAAAATAATTTTAAAATTAAACATAATGGCACTCGCTCAAATAAATTTACTTATGTTAATAAGATATTATACATTTAATAAATATAAATTTTATAATTACAATCGTTTGTTAATCGATGCTACGGGTTTTTTAAAATCGAAGTTTCTCAATTGGTAGCTCGCGATCGCTTCGAGAGTTGTTAATATACTCTGAGTTAATAACAGATTACTCCAGGCACTCTACTTAGAGACATTAGGAGCACTGCTGTAGATAGAAGAGTTAATTATAAACAGTCGTGCACGCTGAGAAAACCAGCAAATTCAAGCAATCTTTTAATATCGTTTTAACATATTATCCAATTTTAAGGAAAAAAAAAAACTCTTAAAAAACTTCAACATTAGTTAAAATTATTAGCTACATTAATTTCATAATTACTGTTTTTACTACAAATTTACTAACCCTATATTTATTAAGCATTTTTAAAAATATTCATAACCTATCATTAATCATATGCACGCAGTTTTAAATTATATGCATAAGCAAGACGTTTATTGATAAGTGATGAACTCTTGTTTATTTTTATTTACTTACTTTTTTTTAAAAGAATTTATATTTCTAGATCATAATTAATAAAAATGCAAAATTGGCAATTATTCTTTAATGTATTCGACAACCGAAACTTTTAATTTATTAATTCCATTAAATAATATGATATTTTGATAAAGAGGAAAATAAAAGAAAGGAAACTAAACTAATGCGATTAGCCCTTAAGCTGGAGAAGAGAATAATAGCAAAGTGATAATCCGGATTAGGGATTATCATCATTCCGCTATTGATAATACTCGATGACACTCGGATCATCAAAGGATTATGCTACCTTAGGGGGATAAAGGAGAAAATTTTTGGCAGTAAAGGTATTATTATTAAATTTTACTATGATATCCTATCATTGAATAGCAATTCTTATAAATAAAAATGAGAAGTAGCGTGCAAGAAACTTTTAAAAATGAAGAAAATACAGCGAGAGAGAGAGAGAGAGAGAGAAGGAAAAAAGAAACTGTATAACTGAACGCCTCTTTGACTTTTTAATATATAAAGTAATCATTCTTTCAAGAGAAACTAATGTAATTTGATAATTAAAAAGATTAATTAAACGACGTTAAATAAGTAATAATTGAATTATTTTTAATAAGTTTGAGAAGTGAATTTTTTCTATTTTTTGTAATTTTTTCCATCCTCTCCTTCTCTCTTCTCTTCTTTACATATACATAAGCCTATACGTAAGTTATATTTGTAGACTAATTTAATCAGTTCGCTTTGCTGTAAATAATGAAGTTCTTATACTTATAAAATAATAAAAACATATAATAGCCAAAACAATAATTAAAGATTTAAAAGTAGATTGATGTATCGGCTTATCCGAAAATAACTCGTTTTCTTTTATATTGTAGTTAGGAAATGTCTTAATGTTACTCTTGTGGGAGCTATTTATTTCTTTGGCCGTCCGATGGACAGGTCACGTGACCATAAGTTACTTTCCTACCGTACATTTTGCGAGAGTAAAGACGAAGATTGGACATAAAGGAAGACATTTATAATTGAAACAACGGGATGAAAAACGATATAGTCAACATCTACTACAATTAACAAATCTCTTTCGAATACTTACGTCCATGTAGACTCCTAGCAAGTTATATTTACGACCCGGCGGTTTCTTACTTGGTAGATATCTGTAGAATTCGACGTTATTCTTATACCATTTAACAGAATATAGTGGATCGCCTTCTAAATCAAAATCACAATGTAACCATATAGGATCGCCGTTCTGTACGGCTCCCGGAACTCCTAACTTTAAGAACTTCAGACTTAAGGATTCTAAAGAATAAATAAACAAAGAAAAAATATGTTTAAATATGGAAAAATATTATTTAAAAGTAAAAATTATCTTAGCAATATATAAATATTAAATGGATCTTAAAAAGATCTGGTTGAAAAAAAAAAATTGTTTCTTTCGGGAGCAATCTTACGTTAAGCAGACTATTCTCTAGAATATTGCTTTGACTTTATTGTTGAGAATAAATTTATTGCCTTCGTTTAGAAGATAAAAAAGGATGCATTTAATAACCGAATAAGAGAGTGCAACATAATATAATGAATATAGGGAATTTGTTGGGTTTTTTAAACAGCAGGACAATAATCTATCTATCTGAGGGATTATAAAAGTGTCAAATCGAACCTAACCAATCTTCAACTNGTACAAACAAGCAATCTTCGTCAGCACTTCTGACACGAAACAATCAGCATGTTAATTAAACCATCCCATCACCTATTCACATTCTTAATGACTGCATTCAAATTATTGTCTTCATTTCCATTCTAGAACAAAACTTCAAACAGAAAAATGTCTTCGTGTCACAATTGAAGCAAACCAAAATGTTCTTTAAATGAATTTTTATATTTGAAATTTTTATCCTGTTAAATATTTCTCGCCAAAATAATTGCTAAAAATCTCTTTTGCATATATTTAAAATTTTAATAAATGTAAACTATTTATTATTCTATTAACATATTTAAGAATTCTCAAGGATGGGCGCATTTTAGCTGCTTTAAAACGTTGAAAAGTTGTCGATATTAATACATAAATATAATAATTATTAATATAAAAAATAATTTTAAAATTAAACATAATGGCACTCGCTCAAATAAATTTACTTATGTTAATAAGATATTATACATTTAATAAATATAAATTTTATAATTACAATCGTTTGTTAATCGATGCTACGGGTTTTTTAAAATCGAAGTTTCTCAATCGGTAGCTCGCGATCGCTTCGAGAGTTGTTAATATACTCTGAGTTAATAACAGATTACTCCAGGCACTCTACTTAGAGACATTAGGAGCACTGCTGTAGATAGAAGAGTTAATTATAAACAGTCGTGCACGCTGAGAAAACCAGCAAATTCAAGCAATCTTTTAATATCGTTTTAACATATTATCCAATTTTAAGGAAAAAAAAAAACTCTTAAAAAACTTCAACATTAGTTAAAATTATTAGCTACATTAATTTCATAATTACTGTTTTTACTACAAATTTACTAACCCTATATTTATTAAGCATTTTTAAAAATATTCATAACCTATCATTAATCATATGCACGCAGTTTTAAATTATATGCATAAGCAAGACGTTTATTGATAAGTGATGAACTCTTGTTTATTTTTATTTACTTACTTTTTTTTAAAAGAATTTATATTTCTAGATCATAATTAATAAAAATGCAAAATTGGCAATTATTCTTTAATGTATTCGACAACCGAAACTTTTAATTTATTAATTCCATTAAATAATATGATATTTTGATAAAGAGGAAAATAAAAGAAAGGAAACTAAACTAATGCGATTAGCCCTTAAGCTGGAGAAGAGAATAATAGCAAAGTGATAATCCGGATTAGGGATTATCATCATTCCGCTATTGATAATACTCGATGACACTCGGATCATCAAAGGATTATGCTACCTTAGGGGGATAAAGGAGAAAATTTTTGGCAGTAAAGGTATTATTATTAAATTTTACTATGATATCCTATCATTGAATAGCAATTCTTATAAATAAAAATGAGAAGTAGCGTGCAAGAAACTTTTAAAAATGAAGAAAATACAGCGAGAGAGAGAGAGAGAGAGAGAGAGAGAGAAGGAAAAAAGAAACTGTATAACTGAACGCCTCTTTGACTTTTTAATATATAAAGTAATCATTCTTTCAAGAGAAACTAATGTAATTTGATAATTAAAAAGATTAATTAAACGACGTTAAATAAGTAATAATTGAATTATTTTTAATAAGTTTGAGAAGTGAATTTTTTCTATTTTTTGTAATTTTTTCCATCCTCTCCTTCTCTCTTCTCTTCTTTACATATACATAAGCCTATACGTAAGTTATATTTGTAGACTAATTTAATCAGTTCGCTTTGCTGTAAATAATGAAGTTCTTATACTTATAAAATAATAAAAACATATAATAGCCAAAACAATAATTAAAGATTTAAAAGTAGATTGATGTATCGGCTTATCCGAAAATAACTCGTTTTCTTTTATATTGTAGTTAGGAAATGTCTTAATGTTACTCTTGTGGGAGCTATTTATTTCTTTGGCCGTCCGATGGACAGGTCACGTGACCATAAGTTACTTTCCTACCGTACATTTTGCGAGAGTAAAGACGAAGATTGGACATAAAGGAAGACATTTATAATTGAAACAACGGGATGAAAAACGATATAGTCAACATCTACTACAATTAACAAATCTCTTTCGAATACTTACGTCCATGTAGACTCCTAGCAAGTTATATTTACGACCCGGCGGTTTCTTACTTGGTAGATATCTGTAGAATTCGACGTTATTCTTATACCATTTAACAGAATATAGTGGATCGCCTTCTAAATCAAAATCACAATGTAACCATATAGGATCGCCGTTCTGTACGGCTCCCGGAACTCCTAACTTTAAGAACTTCAGACTTAAGGATTCTAAAGAATAAATAAACAAAGAAAAAATATGTTTAAATATGGAAAAATATTATTTAAAAGTAAAAATTATCTTAGCAATATATAAATATTAAATGGATCTTAAAAAGATCTGGTTGAAAAAAAAAAAATTGTTTCTTTCGGGAGCAATCTTACGTTAAGCAGACTATTCTCTAGAATATTGCTTTGACTTTATTGTTGAGAATAAATTTATTGCCTTCGTTTAGAAGATAAAAAAGGATGCATTTAATAACCGAATAAGAGAGTGCAACATAATATAATGAATATAGGGAATTTGTTGGGTTTTTTAAACAGCAGGACAATAATCTATCTATCTGAGGGATTATAAAAGTGTCAAATCGAACCTAACCAATCTTCAACTTTCTGGAAATAGTAAAAGAAAGAAATGAGAGGACAGAGTGTCTCAAGAGATGTTTTTTTTTCCTTCCTTCTGACAACTAAACTCAGGTTTCTTTGTTGAGAGTCTCTCCGGACCAAAAAACGATAAAAATTTCTCCAAAAATGAAAAAAAGTGGCATTAACGAAAATACAAGAACAAGAAAATATTTCGGGCATCACGTGCCAAAGTACCATTGGATGAAAATCGTTTAAAATAATCTCAAAATAATGCTAAAAAATGAGTTTCGTGCTTTCGACTATTTAACTAAAGTAAAATTCTCTTTGAAATTTTTTAAATTTCCCGTTAGAAAATGTCTTTATTGCATAAAGTATCTTATAATACACATATACATATTATTTTTTCCTTTATTTTTTACACTTCTTCTTCATCCTTTACACGAATAATTAAGTGCAACTGGATTACATTTAGGATTAGTGCTGGAAGGTGTGTCTATTTGGAAGGATTCTTCTGCTAAGTCACGAGTCTCTTTAATAATGAGATGACAAAGGTTGAGCCAATTGGCTACGTCCATTTAATCTCAAACAATTGTTTCTATTCATTAGATGAAGTGTATACTCTCTTTAGCTTATACTTTCCATTATTACTTTAAATTGAACAGCTAGAAATGAAAATTTGATCTCTCTAATTAGTCGTAACAGGAAACTAAACACATTTTTTTAAAACTTTAATGCTTATAGAATTAAAAAGTCGAATTAAAATACTTTCATATATTATGAAAGTGTTGAAACTCGTGTTTATATTTATTAATAAAACACTAGCATTATTGCTTTACCAGTTATAAAATATAATTCAATAAATCTTAAAAGTTTCTTAAAAACTAAATAAAAAGAAATTGTTCATCGCCCTTTTAACACAGATTTTTTTTTCTAGATAGGAAGGAAAAAAAAGGAAAAATTGGGGCATGATTCCTCTTTAAATTTTCACTAATAAAAAATTATTATCGTGTATATCGACTCTTTCTATAAGCTTATACGAGTTTTCGGTAACTCTGATACACTCTACAATTAATAATTTAAAATAATTATGTAAGAAAATGTGAAAATAATTTGATTTGTGACAATCCAAACGACGACGATAAATAAAATATGCGAAATAAGCTTAGTAAACTTAGCTCGTGATTTGATATTAGTTAAAGTAAAGGAAAAATAGAAGTTTAAATAGAATTTAAGACTTAACAGTATAACTTAAACTTGTACTTAAGTTAAAATTATAGTTTCGCTCCCGTAATTTACTGGAATTACGTATCATATTAAAAATTATAACACGAACGAGAAAATGTATTAGAAAATTTTCGTATTGTTTTTAATTTACGATGTTCTTTGAATGTTTTTACGAAAAATTCTTCGTTTAGGATGACATCAAATAGAGAATTTTTGGAGTAATTACATAATAATGACATCTTTTTTCACTAAACTGACTTTAAAGGACTTCTGCCCAAATATATCTCTGATCTCTGGATTTAAAAGAAAAGATTAAAAAAAAATAAAGTTTTTTGAATTACAGAATTCTTAAATTGCGACATATCTAGTAAAAAAAAAGAAGGAAGGAGAAGAAGAATAAAAAAAATATATAATAAAAAAAGAAAATAAATTCTATCTGTGTCCAACGTTTGTAATGTTTTTGGTCTGCTCGCCGTCAAAAATAGATTTACTTCCAAAATCAATACTATTGTCATTCCGAAAACTTAACAGAAATTCGTAGCACATTTTACAAAACAAAGTTTAAATTTGTTAAATTTTTAGAAGGGAAAATAAAAATTTTGAAAAGAAAGAAAGAAAAAAATAACGTGCTTGATAACAATTGATAGTTTCATGGGCATCCCATAATCTGCACATTTTCTGGTATCATTAATAGAAAAACACTTCAGTAATTATACCATCGATCCAAAGCTGAAAGTCGATAATTCTGTAGCTGTTATCATTTCCTAATTTGATGTCATTCTGGTCACAGTTTGTATCCTAGTGAGTGAGTGTGTGTACCCTAAGCGAATGGATAGGTTATCAAATAGCATTCCGCACTGTATTATGGGTAATAGCAGTTTCGTTCACGTATAAAAAATGAAATCAGAGTATAAACATGTAATCTAGTATCTAAAAAAAAGCGATTATTTTTACTAATTTCTTGAAATTTACCAATAATAGATCATTGAAATCTTCATTTATAAATTTTCTAATTTCTTAAATCTCTAGAATCTCAATTTTTACGATACTGCTGAAATATTTTCTAATTTTAAAATCTTCCGGCATAAAAAAAGTAATGACTGTTCTACACTTTATAAAATTATTGTTTCAATGTTATTAAAATACATTAAATCTTCAATACTTTATAATTTAGAATCTTCGTTTCATATAGGCTATAATCTTTAATAAACTCGTTAATTTTCTACATCGTAAAAACTAAAATCATGGAATTCATTACGTCTTTACAGATACAATGTATTTCCTTCGATCCTATATCCTCAATTATCTTAAATTCAAGCAATTTTAAGACTGACAAAGTGATATTCTCGATTTTTCACTTCATTTTTAAAAGCTATTAATTAAATTCATAATTTTACTTCGTTAGAATCACTTAACAATTTTTCGATTTTCTTAAAAATCATTTAGAATTTCCTTTTCTTCATTAAATATGTGATTTTTCCGACTTTTTTTTAAGAGTAATCATTTAAATTATTTGATTCACTAGAACTGCATTTAAATTTATACAATCTTCAATTTGTTATTTATTTTTAAAATATTTTATAAAAATCTTCATTAAAAATATGTTAGATTTGTAAAGTTTCGACATCTTCGAATCCTTCTTTTAATATAATAATTAAGAGTATTTTCAGGCTTTCTAAGCAATATATAGCGATCTTCAGTTAGCTAGAATTTCATTAAAATCTATTAAACCTGAAGATTTTTAAAAAACTTTAATGAATTTTTAAGAATTAAGAATTAATTAAATATTCATTAAAACATAACTTATTAAAACAGAGATTTTTAAAAAAAAAAACTCCAGTCATCTTTGTTACATCTCCGTCTTCAATTTATTATATGAAAATTAAAAATTAGGTATAAAACTTTACATTTTATGAGATCTTCAAGATTAGTTGAGAACGTTATTGTGAAGCATCGTTATCGAGATTAATTTTAATATTTTTCTATTGAGTAAAAAAGGTGCAATTCAGAAAGTTAAATGCAGCAGATTCGTATCCAAATGTGTATATAATTCATCTTTCTTACAGCTTTCTTTACTTTCTTTCAAGAGAGAGAAGAGCATGTAGAGAAGGATGTTTCGCTAGCAGCACCTATTATGATTGCACTAGTGAACATCGGGCGAAAATCTTATTTGGACGAAATGATATTAGAAATATCGAATGGCAAACGTTACCATAGATATAACAACTTTATAATTAGGATTTTGCTCATAATTGATGCCTTTGACCTGATTACAAGAAAGTTGTAGGAAATTGTTCGAATGATAAATAGAGCGTGATTTATGCTACGTTGATGTTCTCGGAGACTTAATCATGTAATCAAATATTGAAACCGCTCTAGCAAATATGAATTCTTGAAATAAATATGATGATGATGATATCAATACCGATATAATTGTATATAAAACTTATTAAGTTCGATTCGAACGTAAATTGTATTTGTATATTTATGAGACGGTTGAATTGTTTGTTTGTTAAATTAGTTATCGTCTTTTCTTGTTATTCTTCACTCCAATGAAGAAAAAATTATTAAATTAACAAAATTAAGCTAATGATGATTAAATCTTTAGATTGGTATAACTTTTCGTAGTCGTAACAGGAAACNAATAAATTAATGGGCTTCTATTTTTTAAACTTAATTACATAAGTAAACATTTCTTTTTTAGGAAAGTTTTAAAACTATTTTTAAAAATTTCATTATAAAAATTTTATGAAGTCATTTCCATTAAGTTATAATTGCATTTATCTAGAAAAACCGAGCGAAATGTAATTTTAATAATTTAGAACCGTGTAAAATGTTAAAATTATTAAAAGATATATGTTAATTTAAATATATATTTAAAATCCAACACATTCAAGACTATTTTTAATATACGATACAATAATCTTACATTTAATTAAAATAATTATTAATTGGAGCTTGGAGAATAAATATTTAAAATCATTTTACTCAAATGATTTTATAAATTTATAACCGAAATAAATTATTTTCAAAAGAACTTAAAATATTATAATTAAATTCAATATTTTAAAGACTCTCGATATAGTGGAAAACCGAGATTTTATAGTAAACTAGATTGAATTCACTATACACATAAAGAATAGTGTAACAAAGCCCAAAGCCCAACAAAATTATTCACTGTATCGAAAGTTTACTAAATTGTATAGTCACTATATTAAAATTCCACTGTAAAATGTATATATATATATACATATATTTTTCTTCTCTTCTTTCAATTGAAACAATTAAGATAAGATAGAAATGAATGAATTATTTCCACTAGTAATCACTTAACATATAAAAAGAATATGAATTTAGCATATTAATTTTTAGAAAAGTGTTACAATTAAGAGCACCTTATCATGGGCATTTTTTAATTCCAT